TAGAATAATATGTGTTTTTATGCCATTTTGGTTTAGAAAAATCACTTGTATAATATTTAGTATTATATTTTGGTTCACACTAGAAATATTTTGTATTTCATTTTTCACTATTTATAAAAAAACGTTTTCCCGTAGGATCCCATAGCAAATGCATGCGGGTCATTTTTGACCCACTGACGGCCCGTTCACACGGCGGCGTGCGTTGAAGCTTCCAACGCTTCTGCCCATTCACTTTGAATGGGGTGAAGTCACTTTTAGCCGAACTGCATTTTGGGAAGCGACGTGGAGCGTAGCTGGCTTCAAAAGTTGAGCAATGTTCATCTTTTGGCGCCTCGGCAGAAGCGTCAGCCAATGAAATCCTGTTTATGCAAATCTGCCAGTACAAGCGCTAGCCAATCAAACCGCGTGTATGCTGGGAGAGACTACGCAGGTCATTTCCTCATATTCAAAAAAATGGAGGGAAAATTGATTCTAGCGATAGTGAATCACCCGGTGCTGTATGATCAGTCTCTGTTCATCTACCGGGATACAAACCGGAGGAGCGAGGCATGGAGGGAGGTGGCAGAGACAGTGGGTGAAACTGGTAGGTTTTCGCCTGTTTGGGATTTTATATATATATATATATATTGCTCGCATAAAATCCCCGGGGGTTTTTTGCTTTCTATGTCGGGGGCGGGAGATTCATGTGATTGGTTGTTGGTCGCGTTGCTCGCAAAAAATCCCCAAGCTTCAGATACGCCCACCGCCAAGCGTCAACGCACGCTGCTGTGTGGACGCTCCGTTATGGAAGCTTGGGGTAGAAATACAAAAACTATAATTTCTTAAAATGTAAATTTTAAATTTGAATGGCTTGATATCCAAAACATGTTATTTGAGGAATAGCTGGAATATTAAATGATAAAAATATGTAATTACAAAGATACTCTAAGAAAACCACCTCACCGGGTCCAAAAAGACCCACTTAAGCATCGAAGGGTTAATTGTTCTTGCACTATTTTTGTATTTTATTATATATGTTGCATCGTTGGAAAAGCTCAGGTCAGAAGATTTTCATAACCATTTCTACCCTGTAGCTGCTGAGCAAATGACATTAAAACCGTTGAAACCTTTTTTTACGCTGCTATGGACATTCTTGCAATTATGTACATTTCCCAAAGACATTGAAGTGACTGTTATTTTGTATATATTGATTATTGTGTTTTTATTTAGGTCTTAATGTGTGCACAAATGTGTATTTATATACATATTTTTATATACATTTGTTTTTATATTGGGGATTGTGGGAAACGGTATTTCGATCTCTCCGTCTGTAAACACAAACTGGAAGATGTTGACTCTGACTGACTTGACTTTGAATCTTTTGAACAAATGATCATTCCCTGGTTCAAAGTAAATGCAGTGGGATATATTACTAGATTATATTTCCTCACCTGTGCAGGTCTGGGATCAGGCCCTGCCGGTAGCAGCTGCTCAGCTGGCCCAGCAGCTGCTGCTGTTTACCATACAGACTCAGGTAGTTGGAGAGGGGGAGGGGCTTCAGGGAGAGACAGGTGAGCGCCTCCACCTGCTCGTAGCTGTCCAGGTGTAACGAGAAGTAGTTCCCCGTCTCCACACGCCCCGTCACCAAGCAGCTGTCCTGCAACTAAACACATTATGAAAAGTCCCTTAAATTAAAACACATTTCACTTTTTCAACTTAGGAATCTTTCTTAAAGGAATAATGATTGGATGTTATCTTCAAGAGTTTCAGAAAATGATGTATCTGTTTTCTTAAAGAGAATCCTGCTGATTTAGTATTCATCACACACTGCAAACAAATGGTCGTTGAAGAAATGTTTAATTCAATATTTAAAGAAAATGCTGTTTTCAGCCGCTGGAATATGGAGTTCCTGCTTTTCTCGGTTTAATATATTCATATTTAAGGGATTTCTTGGGGGGTGTTTGGACTGACTAAAAAGAACAACAACATGAACATTCTTCACTATTTCCTGACATGTTGACGTGTCTTCAAGCAGAAGTTAGTTAGTTCTCTTGTTCTTCAGGAGTTTGTAGAGGGATTCGCGTTAAAACATGGATTAAAAGACAAGGCAGTGATATTCTCCAATTGTGCTTTTATCCAAAAATAAAACACACCCCAGTCTGTTGTTTATATTAAAACCTTACCTTTTGAACAGGAGGAGCGGTCAGCTGGGTAGCAGACGGTTTAGTGACCTGCAGGAAGTGGAATCCTCCAGGAAGCTTCCCACCTGAGAGAGGAGGAAGGTTAAGGTGTGAGGAGGTCCATTTCATTCATGTGTCGTTGTTTCCTTACTTTTTGTAGCCTGAGGGATTATTCAGAAATATAATTAGTAATTGAAGACCTTACATGCAACAGTTAAAAGACCAATCATGGCATCAACGGTGAGTAAATCAGCGCAGAGTACTCACAAAATGTACCAAGTGACTACAGGTGAAAATATTGCATAAAGCAGTCTAACAAAAAGACCCAGAGTTTATTAACTCGGTTGTAGGAGCCAAAACATTGATTTATTATTTTGATCATTTAATCATTTAATGTATGTAATGGAGTATAACTGATTGGTGTCATTTGATCGGGATCCGCAGCCACGGTGGGGCGGAGCGGCTGATTGGTGCTGCGATTGCCTCAGCTGGTTAAAAGAGTCCTGCTGATTATACTCTGGGTTCTATTTTGGTTGTGAAGCCACACGTTTTTTTTAACGCTGCATTGCACTGCAGAGACGAGAAGATTTGTTTATTTAAATAACGAAAACTGTTTCAACATCGTCTGGTAAGATACCTTCATTTGTGTGTTTAAAGAAGAGAACGAACAGTGTTGAAATGGAAACGATAACATAGAAATAAATGTTATTCGGTTGACATAGAAGTGCTGGGAAAGTTTGCTCAGCTTGTTTTACCGAAGACTCAAGACCCAGAAGTCGTCCCACTACAACAGTCCATCATCCGGTTAAAGTATAGAGTTAAAAGGCCTGAATTATGTAAAAGTGTATGGTGAAAATGTGCCTCAAAACTGGATCAAAAGTCAATTTATGACACATGCTAAAAAGGGAATATGGGGACAGATGATGTCCGTTCACAACTCAGCTGAGTATATAACACAGGCATGTTGTTTTTAGAGCGTTATGTATGTATGTAGATATCCTCGATGATTCGGCCTCTCTGAAAAGTTCACGTGTGTGTCACCCCCGTGAGAGTGGCTGTCGTGTTTGTGTTACCTGTGGAGTGGCCTTGGTTCCTTCGTGAATACACGGCAGCACAATGCACCATTGTTACGCCCCGCTATGGTTTGAGTGTTCGACGAAATAACACGAGCAGTGGGTGGGCAGGTAAAGGTTTGTAAAACGCTCCAAGGTGATGCTGGTGAATTCAGTCAGATACAAACGTGTTTGGACAGCAGGAAGAGTATTAAAGGGTAAACTGAGAGACCCTAGAACATATACTGAGAAGTAGTGCTGATGAATGTGAAGGAATTTAAGGTTTATAATAAAGATACGACACGTGGGAATTGAATAGCAGGAGAGATAATGCAGTACTGAAGTGGTTTTAAGGGGGCCAGGGTTTTATAGAAGTCCCATTCATTGCCATAGATGACTCACCACAACAAAAGATGAACAAGTGTGTCATCAGTGTGTGGGAGACGGCCCCCGAAGGGCATGTGGAGAAGTGGCTGCGCGATTGTGCTGCGAAATATCATTTTTAGATGCATCTCAATTCTCTCTGGACATTTTTTAATGCAACACACACACACACACACACACACACACACACACACACACACACACACACACACACACACACACACACACCACACACACACACACACACACACACACACACACACACACACACACACACACACACACACCTTGAATCTTGGCCTGTCCGTACAGCGGAACGAGGCGCTCTGTTTCTGGAGGAGTTTCCATCGCGGGCTCCAACGTGGGGTCGAAGAGACGCAGCAACATGGCCGCCAGATCCCGGCCCACCTCCTTAGAGTTGAAGTTTGCGTTCGACCACTCGTCGGAGTAGTAGCTGCGGGAGAATTTGGTGAGAGGTCCGGCTGCAGAAATGGAGGAATCGCTGGTGTGGAAAGTGGCGTCTATAACGAGTCTGCTGTCGAACACCAGGAAGGAGTCGTTGATGCTCCGGAAGGCCTCAGAGTCCACGGCTTTATTGGAGAGATTAATGAACACCTGAAAGGAGAAAAGCAAGATATGTTTTCTGTTTCTTGGGATGTCATGATTTTTATATGCTGCCCCTTATACATGAGTAACACATGCGTCACTTCCGGGCAAAAATGACGGCTCCGCCCACTTTTGGGGGAAAACAACGCTGTCATTTGAATGGCGGTCAATACAATTCTGAAGTTTTTGCCAATCCGATCAGAAATGTTTGAAAACCGTGGATTTGTGGATCTTCAAAGAGCCAGATTACGATGGCCAGACAGGCGAACAATTACATGAAATCATTGGAAATGGACGATCGGGCTCGATATATGGTTAAATATAGCAGTTGGCGATCGGTGTCCATAGATGAGAGTAGCATCACTTTACGGCCCACCCACTTTTGGGGGAAACCAACGCTGCTGTTCGAGCCTGAAGCCACAGAGCTCTTCTTTTACTGTCCAATTATTTCCCGCCTCGCTCATGAGAGTAACAGCCGGCGAAATGACGGCCTCGCCTACTGATTTTAATTTAACCATATATCGAGCCCGATCGTCGATTTCAAATGATTTAATGTAAATGTTTGCCTGACTGGCCATCGCAACCGGGCTCTTTGAAGATCAGAAAATGTCTGATCGGATTGGCAAAAACGTCAATCAAATGACAGCGTTGTTTTCCCCAAAAAGTGGGCGGGGCCGTAATTTTCGCCCGGAAGTGACGTAGGTGTTACTCTCATCTATGCTTGGAATAAAGTACAGAAAGAGCTGAAACTGTCAGATTTGATCACTACGGGGGAGTTCAAGTCTTAAAGGACGGAGAACAAGAATCCATTGGTCGATGTGATTGCTCGTATATCCCATAATTGAAGTCGTTTTAAAATTGTGCCAGTTTTTAGTGTTTTATAATAGTTATTTTATTTGCATATTCACTGGGTAATGTGTTCATTAGTGTTTTACAGCTGTATTCGTCTGCCTGTATTGTTTGTGTTCATTTGTTGTAACTTTCTCCATGCTGCCCCTCTTGGCCAGGTCGCTGTTGAAAAATAGATTTGAATCTCAGTGAGACTTTTACCTGGTTAAATAAAGGATATATGATCAGATGAACACATTTCCACACAAACCAACTTCTGTGATTAAACTCGTGGAGCTGGACAAACGTTTTAAAAAAGCCCTATTGGAGTTTTCCCTTTCCTGTAGTGTGATGTTTCTCTCCCACACATGGACCATATTGTGATCTGATAACATTGTGGTGCAGCTCTAGTTTTGTCTACACTTTCTCTCTATCCTTCACAGCTAACACATCTGTCAATATATTTCCAGCCTAGAAAACAAATGTTTAAGCCACATTTCTGAATGCTCTGGTTTGACACAATATAAAAACAACAAAACCTCATCTGCAGGGTGCCTCTAATTCAGCCTAAAATGAGGAAAACAAACACACAATCGGAGAGTACAATCCTCTACTGTCTGAAACAATGGGAATGGGAAACACACCAACATCATTCTGTGCTCCACAAACACAGCCTGCTTCCAGGAGGGGAATTAAAATCCAGCCAGCCGCTCGTTCATGGCCCCCTGGACAGTAACCCAGCATTGTTAGGGAAATATTTACTTCAGTGAACACTAATAACTAACTGGACAAGCAGACATGCTAGTCTACTTGCCAGCAGTGTGAACCCTGAAAACATTATGATAGAAATGTATTGTACGGGTCCCGAGCACATAGAAACTGCCGGAGGCTAACTTGCATATGTTGGGCAATTGGCACAAGTTGTATTCAGTAGCATTCATTACATTACATTACATTGCATTTAGCTGACGCTTTTGTCCAAAGCGACTTACAATAAGTACATTCGACCAGGAAGACACAACCTTGAAGAAAACAGAATCATATAAGTATATCAGGTTTCATAGAGCCAAACATTTCAAAGTGCTACTCAACTGGCTTTAGGTAATCCAGTCCTTTAGTGGTATAAAAGTGCTTCGTTAATCGTTCTAACGCTCGAAGTGGAGTCGAAAGAGATGAGTTTTCAGTTTGCGCCGGAAGATGTGCAAGCTATCTGCCGTCCTGATGTCAATGGGGAGCTCATTCCACCATCTTGGAGCCAGGATAGCAAACCCACGTGTTTTCGCCGATGGGAACTTGGGTCCCCCTCGCAGCGAGGGCGCAACGAGTCGTTTGGCTGATGCAGAGCGTAGTGCACGCGCTGGGGTGTACGGTTTAACCATGTCCTGGATGTAGGAGGGCCAGATCCATTCGCAGCACGGTAAGCAAGTACCAGTGTCTTGAAGTGGATTCTAGCAGTTACCGGAAGCCAGTGAAGGGAGCGGAGGAGGAGCGGAGTGGTGTGGGAGCATTTAGGAAGGTTGAAAAACCAGACGAGCCGCTGCATTCTGGTGAGCTGCAGAGGTCGGATGGCACATGCAGGTAGACCAGCCAGGAGGGAGTTGCAGTAGTCTAGGCGTGAGATGACGAGAGCCTGGACCAGAACCTGAGTCGCTTTCTGAGTCAGCTGGGGACGTATCTTCCTGATGTTGTAAAGCGTGTATCTGCAGCAACGGGTTGTAGCAGCGATGTTTGCAGTGAAGGACAGGTTGTTATCTAGGGTCACACCCAGATTCCTTGCAGTCTGAGTCGGGGAAAACAACTGAGGTGCCGATGTTGATTGTCAGGTCAAGAGTTGGACAATCTTTTCCCGGGAGGAAGAGCAGCTCAGTCCTTGTCAAGGTTGAGCTTGAGGTGGTGAGCAGACATCCACTGAGAGATGTCAGCTAGACAAGCAGAGATGCGTGCGACGACCTGGGTCTCTGAGCGGGGAAAGGACAGAATTAATTGGGTGTCGTCAGCGTAGCAGTGGTAAGAAAAACCATGCGGGCTAATGACTGGATCCGAGCGAGTTTGTGTACAAGGAGAAGAGGAGGGGACCAAGAACAGAGCCCTGAGGGACCCCCGGTAGTTAATTGACAAGGGTCGGACTCAGACCCTCTCCAAGTCACCCTGTAGGTACGGTCTTTCAGGTATGAGGTGAGGAGGGAAAGTGCAGAGCCAGAAACTCCAAGTTTTTGGAGAGTGCGAAGGAGGATCTGATGATTCACCGTGTCGAATGCAGCAGACAGGTCCAACAGGATGATGACAGAGGAGAGGGATGCAGTTTTGGCAGTGTGCATTCATTTGCAAATGCAGACAATAGCAAAATTGCTTGGCCGAATTGGACATGTTTGGTGTGGTTTTTGAGGTATATTGAGGATGCTGAATACATTTCTGACATTTTTAAGATCCGGGAGCACAATTATGGCCCAAAACTGCCATTTTTGATCCTGAAAATGTCCGAAATGGATTCAGCTTCCTCAATATCCCCCAACAACCCTACAAAGACATTCCTAATCGAATTTGTAACCATTGTCTGCATATGCTAATTAATGCAACTTATTCCAATTGTGCAAACTGCGAAACATATATAGTCCGGCAGTGGCTCAGTCAGTAGGGGCTTTGGACTGTGAGCCGTAGGGTCGCCGGTTCAAGTCCCCGAACAGACCTGAATATGGAGTGTGGACTGCTACTTGGTCCCCTGCCATGGTGCCATTGAGCACCCCCTCCCCCCCCCCCCCCCCCCCCCCCCCCCCCCCCCCCCACTCCCCCCACTGCGCTGTACAATAGCTGCTCCTAGTACTAGACTCCTGGTACTAGGATGGGTTAAATGCAGAGAACACATTTCACTGTGTGCTCTGCATGTGTGACCATTAACGAGGGTTTCATCCTCCCATTCTATTCTATCTAAAAGTTAGCATCCAGCAGTTTCTATGTGCCCTACTATACATTTCTATCATAACACTTTGGGGTACTCTACATTTCCAGGTTAACAATAAGACGATGTTGATTTACCCCACACTGCAGATTGAGGGTCTCTGCGTCTGTAGTGAAGGTCACAGATGTGAGGGGGTTGGGGTTGTCTCCGTTGTTCATGAGGGCCAGCAGGCAGTGATGGTGGACCTGAACCTCGGCCTTCTTCAGGGCCGTCGCCACAGCTTTCTCCACCTCCGGGTCGCTGAAGCAGGAGACGCCGGGCTCGGGAGGCGTGAAGACGACATGGATACGATTACCCAGAATCCCGAGGCTGAGCAAAGTCTCAACGGTGGTGAAAACGTCGATGCTGTTTCCGTAGACGATGGCGTTATCTGGAGAGACACATTTTGTTTGTTGCAAACGGATCCTTTTTTAAGCACCCATTTTTGTAAAAGGAGAGCATTTTTATCCCAAAAAACTCAGATTTTTTTAATTCAACTTCCCTTTCGAGTCCTAAAAAGGCCAAACCATCTGATATTTCACGTTATAATAAAAGTTTATGGAAAAATGAAAACAACTGGTGTAGCAGAACCTTTAGTTTTCAGTCTTTTTAAGTACATTCACTTGGTAATCCTTCTTTGAGGCAGAACATATAATTAGGTATTTTTACGTTGTTGTTTTGGTACTTTTAGTTGAGTAACAGACCATCGTTGGTTATTAGAATGAACACAGCTTCAGTTCAGTGCCTCTGTCCGTGGTGCTGAACCAGAGGAGCTACACCAAGGACAGCACAACACAAAAACCTCTCGTTAACAATCTATATTCCACTGCTCATATATACCACCACTACAATTGCTCAGGGAAACAAGTTCTTTATGTGTAAAATTCCCATAAATATGTAAGCGTACAGCTTTGTTAAGGTAAACAAGTTATTATGATGTTGCCACTACACACTGGTCTTGTTTTTAATCATGGAGCCAGTGTAATGAACACCTTGCATCATAAACAAACCAGTGTCCCTTGCCATTTTTTGGGAATGCCTGCATTGTTTTTGGAGGGGATATGGATTGCCTCTCGGTGCATCAGGAGTGTCTTCAGCTTTAAAATATAAAGTCTGGTGTTGTTCTACCCTTTTCTTTTTGTTAAAATATGCCATGAAAAGACCAACTATGTGTGTGTGTGTGTGTGTGTGTGTGTGTGTGTGTGTGTGTGTGTGTGTGTGTGTGTGTGTGTGTCAAAGCCTGATGCATATTTTTGAGTGATTACAAACTATTAAAAACACGTTCCTTCATCACCATATACTACACACTGTAGTTTATTTTGGCTCAATCAAACACACATCATCCTGCAGCCACAAATATTAACTGAAGCACCATGTGATTAAATGTGGTTTAATCCGGTGGTGAAAAATCTACTGTCACTGGAATGGAAATACTGAAAGCTGAAGCTAAATAAAACGGCATATTTGTGATTTAAAAAGTGTTCTGACGGTAAGTACTGAGAGACTCCATCTGCTTCAGTCTACCGCTGAACTTCACATTCATACGTTTCTTTCGGCTGTTATTAAAATATGTAAATACACATGTTATCTGCTGGAGTCTGCATTTATTAATGGCTTTGCTTCATGACTAGGATCATCTAATTAGTACATTTAAAAGCCTCACTCCAGATCAGTGCACAATTCCTTCAGAGAGCAGATTCATTCTGCTTAATGACACTGTGGGTTTTATCCTCTGGCTCTCAGAAAGTGATGTGATAATGGAAAACTGGATGGGAGAGGCCAACATGATTCACACAGATGAAAGATTTCTCTGCAGCTAATTAGCGGCTAATTATACCGGAGCACTTCAGCGCTGACTGGCTGAGTAATGACATACAACTACACATTAATATTAGGTTCTGTGTGTGAGTGTGTGTGTGTATGAGAGTGTATGTGTGTGTGTGAGTGTGTGTGTGTGTGTGTGTGTGTGTGTGTGTGTGGTGTGTGTGTGTGAGAGTGTATGTGTGTGTGTTAGCTCACCCTCCAGCTCCACAAAGTTGGCGCTCAGCCAGCGGCGGGCAGCCATACAGTCGTGGAGGTCGTTGAGGGTGAAGAGGTTGGAGGGCAGCTGGAGGTTTGAGTCGGGCTGATTCACTTCAGCAGGACGAGGCGCCTGCAGCAGCATATCATAATAGTGTTACGTTTATTAGCTAGCTATATCTTTATATCGTGTTATAGAGTGGTGCAGGAATGAGTCCTGAAGCACTTCCTGTTGCATCGTTTTGAAGTCTTTAGTATGAGTTTTTGGTTGTTAGCCTGAAATAAGGTATGTGGTTAACATAAGCTGAAGAGATTTTAACAAGTTGTTCTAGGACATAAATAATTCAGTAAATACCCCACTGGTGGATTTAAAAACAGCAGTTGCTAACAAGTGTCTAAATGAGACAACTAAACATCATCACACCCAACATTAGCCTCCTTTGGCTTAGCGGTGGTGACGTGAAGTCATGTGACCGTGCTGTAGTTCCTTTATAGCCCAACATTAGCCACCTTTAGCTTAGCGGTGGTGACATGAAGTCATGTGACCGTGCTGTAGTTCCTTTATAGCCCAACATTAGCCACCTTTAGCTTAGCGGTGGTGACGTGAAGTCATGTGACCGTGCTGTAGTTTCCTTTATAGCCCAACATTATCCTCCTTTAGCTTAGCGGTGGAGACGTGAAGTCATGTGACCGTGCTGTAGTTCCTTTATAGCCCAACATTAGCCTCCTTTAAGCTTAGCGGTGGTGACCGTGAAGTCATGTGAACCGTGCTGTAGTTCCTTTATAGCCCAACATTAGCCCCTTTAGCTTAGCGGTGGTGAAGTCATGTGAACCGTGCAGTAGTTCCTTTATAGCCCAACATTAGCCCCTTTAAGCTTAGCGGTGGTGAGTGAAGTCAGTGACCGTGCTGTAGTTCCTTTATAGCCCAACATTAGCCTCCTTTGCTTAGCGGTGGTGACGTGAAGTCATGTGACCGTGCTGTAGTTCCTTTATAGCCCAACATTAGCCACCTTAGCTTAGCGGTGGTGAAGTCATGTGACCGTGCTGTAGTTCCTTTATAGCCAACATTAGCCACCTTTAGCTTAGCGGTGGTGAAGTGAAGTCATGTGACCGGTGCTGTAGTACCTTTTATAGCCCAACATTAGCGCCTTTAGCTTAGCGGTGGTGACGTGAAGTCATGTGACCGTGCTGCAGTTCCTTTATAGCCCAACATTAGCCACCTTTAGCTTAGCGGTGGTGACATGAAGTCATGTGACCGTGCTGTAGTTCCTTTATAGCCCAACATTAGCCACCTTTAGCTTAGCGGTGGTGACGTGAAGTCATGTGACCGTGCCGTAGTTCCTTTATAGCCCAACATTAGCCACCTTTAGCTTAGCGGTGGTGACGTGAAGTCATGTGACCGTGCCGTAGTTCCTTTATAGCCCAACATTAGCCTCCTTTAGCTTAGCGGTGGTGACGTGAAGTCATGTGACCGTGCTGTAGTTCCTTTATAGCCCAACATTAGCCACCTTTAGCTTAGCGGTGGTGAAGTCATGTGACCGTGCAGTAGTTCCTTTATAGCCCAACATTAGCCCCCTTTAGCTTAGCGGTGGTGACGTGAAGTCATGTGACCGTGCTGTAGTTCCTTTATAGCCCAACATTAGCCTCCTTTAGCTTAGCGGTGGTGACGTGAAGTCATGTGACCGTGCTGTAGTTCCTTTATAGCCCAACATTAGCCACCTTTAGCTTAGCGGTGGTGAAGTCATGTGACCGTGCTGTAGTTCCTTTATAGCCCAACATTAGCCACCTTTAGCTTAACGGTGGTGACGTGAAGTCATGTGACCGTGCTGTAGTACCTTTATAGCCCAACATTAGCCGCCTTTAGCTTAGCGGTGGTGACGTGAAGTCATGTGACCGTGCTGCAGTTCCTTTATAGCCCAACATTAGCCTCCTTTAGCTTAGCGGTGGTGACGTGAAGTCATGTGACCGTGCTGTAGTTCCTTTATAGCCCAACATTAGCCCCCTTTAGCTTAGCGGTGGTGACGTGAAGTCATGTGTCCGTGCTGTAGTTCCTTTATAGCCCAACATTAGCCGCCTTTAGCTTAGCGGTGGTGACGTGAAGTCATGTGACCGTGCTGTAGTTCCTTTATAGCCCAACATTAGCCGCCTTTAGCTTAGCGGTGGTGACGTGAAGTCATGTGACCGTGCTGCAGTTCCTTTATAGCCCAACATTAGCCTCCTTTAGCTTAGCGGTGGTGACGTGAAGTCATGTGACCGTGCTGTAGTTCCTTTATAGCCCAACATTAGCCCCCTTTAGCTTAGCGGTGGTGACGTGAAGTCATGTGTCCGTGCTGTAGTTCCTTTATAGCCCAACATTAGCCGCCTTTAGCTTAGCGGTGGTGACGTGAAGTCATGTGTCCGTGCTGTAGTTCCTTTATAGCCCAACATTAGCCGCCTTTAGCTTAGCGGTGTTGACGTGAAGTCATGTGTCCGTGCTGTAGTTCCTTTATAGCCCAACATTAGCCTCCTTTAGCTTAGCGGTGGTGACGTGAAGTCATGTGACCGTGCTGTAGTTTCTTTATAGCCCAACATTAGCCACCTTTAGCTTAGCGGTGGTGACGTGAAGTCATGTGACCGTGCTGTAGTTCCTTTATAGCCCAACATTAGCCGCCTTTAGCTTAGCGGTGGTGACGTGAAGTCATGTGACCGTGCTGTAGTTCCTTTATAGTCCAACATTAGCCGCCTTTAGCTTAGCGGTGGTGACGTGAAGTCATGTGTCCATGCTGTAGTTCCTTTATAGCCCAACATTAGCCGCCTTTAGCTTAGCGGTGGTGACGTGAAGTCATGTGTCCATGCTGTAGTTCCTTTATAGCCCAACATTAGCTTTTTAATTCAGAAATCATGAAGTGTTGTTAATATGTGGAGATTATCTTGCTGAACTAAATGTGTAAATATCATAAACGCAATAATCCAAAATGAAATTCTGTGTGTCACCTGGTACTGTAGGCCGGTGCAGAGGACCAGGTGGTCGTAGGGCACCGTCACTCCACCGGACACCAGGACGTGTTTGGACTTCCTGTTGATGGCCACCATCTTCCCGCTCACCACGCTGACGCAGGAGTGCAGAGGCACCCGGGACAGATCTCTGCTGCTGTACGCATGACTGCACACAGGAAGACACCTCTTAAGACACTCATGTGACTTAAAGGAGGATTAAGTTGCAAGTGCTCTTCCCTTTCAGAGTGTTTTCAAGAACTGTGACAGACTTCAAGCAAAATATATTGCTTCCTTAAACAAGAGTTTGGTGTGTCCCTTCTGGGTAGAAACATGGCACACTTCATGAAAGAGTAGCTCCCTATGTAGACACGAAAGACTCATTTTAGAGCTGCAATTTTATTAATTCATCAATTTGTTTTACATTTAAATTAATATGCAACAGTTTGGATAATTTATGATCATATTTTATGAAAGACGTGTTTTTAACAACTTTTTTGCCATTTTATAGATAAAATAAATAATCGTTTATAAGAAACAATAATTGGTCAATTATTTAACAATGAAATGTATCATTAGTTGCAGCCCTAGCTTATTCTGAAGTAACCCCAAAACAACAATATATATCTTTAGATGATTATACGCCAAATAATATACACAAAAAAAAGAATACAGTTATGAGTCATTTTCTGCCAATAGAAATCCCTTAATACTGATCACTGGTCCTTTGTGTTTATAGGAAATGCATCAACATGGTTCCCTTAATCTACAGCCATTACATTATGCGATAATTTTTTACCTCATAAAAATGTATTAAAGCAAAACATGTGTCTATTGCCGCTATAATTTAGCTGTAAAAGACATAGAAACACTTTATTGATCGTTTCTTGGTGTTGAGATCTCATCTAATAAGTGAATTAGTGCTGTTTTCCTCATTTTGGTCCATTCTCTCACCTTGTGGAGAGAAACCCGATGTCCTCGTGGTCGAAGTCGCTGAGGAGGCCGTGCGTGGAGACCAGTGTCAGGCTGTTGAACCTGAGGTGAGGGCTGAGAGACAAACAACACACAGCAGAACACAGTAAACAAACACAGGACACACTGAACAAATGCAGTACACAGTAAATACATAGTGCTTTTCCTGGGAAACCTAATTTCTGCAGAACCTACCTGCTTCATTTAGTGATGTGCAACAGCATGTATAGATAATTGCTTATATTAGCCATGTTAAGAGGACAATAACGAATATTAAAAAACACTCTTTAGTTTGCTTTATGTACTAGGAAGGTCTGGAGAAGATTCAGTAAAGCCACAGGACTACACAGTGTATTTGTTACTTTACTTTAGTTGTACTTGTTTACACACCAAGTTAGCGCTAATGTTAGCTTCCCAGTTAGTTAGCACAACCATTAGCAGATTTCAGGTGCAAGGCTTACTTTCTTTCTTATGTAGGAAAAAGGTGCCCCATTGGCTGGTAGTTGTGATTCATCTCTGGTTGTTTTTGAAGATGTATAGATATATTTTGTACATATAACTCTATTAGCATATTTTGTACATGCATAACAACATAACACACTACAGGAAAGGGAACACCCCAAAACGCAGAATAGGGTCTCGTTATTCTTTGTGAAAGCATCAATAGTAAATATTTCAATATCGTTGCGTTAGTTTTTATCAATGCATTTGGTCAAACATTTTTGATTCTCTTTATATTGGCCACCACAGTTTGAGGTTCCTCTGAATGATTTCACCCCAAGAAACATTTGCTTCAGTAAAACTCACACATTTGATCTGTTTGAGAGTCTCCTGCTTGTAGACGCATATTATGAAACCCTGAGGTGGTCCTTTTTTTCTTTATAACTAATGCTGTTGATGTTTTGTGATTTTAAAAAGGTGTCTATCACTGTACCATCTGGCCGGGGACAACAGCTGGAAATGAGCAATGTTGGCTAAAGCTGCCCCATTTACTGTTGTTTGTGACAGTTGATCAATGGGGATGTCCACGACACTATGAGCAAATAAACTAAACCAAACTGAACATTAAACATGGCCAAAAAAATCTCCGATGTTGAATATCTCTCAGCCTATACTGAGCATGTGTGACTCCTGCAGTGTCTCCTCCCTCTTTGAGTTTACTGTCCACAGTACACATCTCCTCTTGTCATGCAAATGCCTTCCTTTGTGTTTCCCTGCAGGACACCACAGAGCAGATAACAGCAGCTCCTGTGTGTGTGTGTGTGCGTGCGTGCGTGCGTGCGTGCGTGTGTGTGTGTGTGTGTGTAGCTTGCAGTGTTTGGTCTTATCTCTGTGACTCTGATCACCTCCTGTCTGCTCTTATCTCTCAGCCTCCTGACAAACTATCGCCCTGAAGCACACACACCAACACACACCAACACACACCAACACACACCAACACACACCAACACCCACCAACACACACCAACACACACCAACACACACCAACACACACCAACACACTGCTGAGCGCTCTGAAACAGTGTTGTGTTGCAGAGTAAAACATCACGTCTGCTTGTTTTGGAGCATTGTGGACACTTTTACACAACTTTATGACAGGGTTGTGAAATGTATTGATTTTTATATGAACATCTGGATATGAAAATACATATCGTTTAGGTTTTAGGTATCGTAAAGTTGCATAGGTATTGATTTGCCCTGGTTTTAAAGCCTTGCATTTCAGACAAGTGATGCAATGTTCTTAAAATAACCAGGCTGTTGTATTATTTGGCTTTATCCATTAATTATATACATTACAGATGATTGATTTTCAAAACTGTTAAATATTTTAGGAAAGTCAATAATCAACCCTACATAATCATTGAAATATCAATATTGAGTACTTGGCTCAAAAACACATTTGTATAGTTATTTCCCCATGACACTGAGCACTATAGGTTATATTGGATTTATAGGAATTGTATTTTGGATAACATTTATCAGTTACATTACTGGATAAGTTTAACATGGACAGTACACAATTAAGAACTATTGAATAGATGATATTGATATTACATATGACATAATACAAATATTCTAACCATATTGACCACCATTTCTCTCTAGTGGGAAACATGATGGACATTTAGCAATAAACACCATTTGCTTTAAATCTATTTATCTGGATAAAGATTGATTAATTGTTCAGTCTATAAAATGTCAGAAAAATAAGTTTGAAGCCAAATGTCTTTTAACGTCTTGCTTTGTTCCACTTACAGTTTTAAATCCAAAGATATGAAATATACAATGATTTAGAAACAGAGAAAGGCAGCCAATATCACAATTGAGAAGCTGAAACCAGCCAAATATTTTGCATTTTTGCTTGATAAATACCTAACAATACTAAAAATGTTTGATTAAGTTTATATTACTCACCTAGAGATCAGCTGGTGCTGTAATAAAACAACAAATCAGCGCTCAAACATGTGTACACACGGATCAAGTAAAGCATCCTTGACTCTCGTCACAAAGCTCAGAGTCATCAGTGGTTTGACCTTTGGCTCTGACGCATACAATAACAATAATCAGACAATGAGAGCAGTCGAACTTTCCCTGTTAATCTGAGCCTGGAGGAGGATTTACATCGAGGGGTTTCTGGTGTCTGGAGAGTCAGAGGATCTGTTATCAGCCGCTGACAGACGGTCAGCCTGCAGCTCTTTATCTGTCTGACCCCGAGACACAGTAATGAAGCTGGGAGGGGGGGAGGCAACAGCACACATCCTTTACTCAAGTAGAAGTACAGATACTCGTGTTTAAAAATACTCTGGTAAAAGTAGAAGTACTGACTGAACTCGAACATATAATAATGTCATTGTTAGCTAATGAATGTTTCCATGCTGAACAACGGCAACATGACAACGTTTCCATTGGTCCCTCTTCTTTAGAGAAGACCAGGAAATGATGGATACACGGATCGTGTTCAAATCAATAGGCACGCAATGACTCTAAAGAATAATGATCACGCATCAAACACACATTCAGACTAAAGGAACCAGCTGTTTGGAAAATGAGAGAAGTAGAAAGTACAGGTATTTGAGTTCAACATGTAAGAAGTAGAAAGTACAGGTATTTGAGTTCAACATGTGAGAAGTAGAAAGTACAGGTATTTGTGTTCAACATGTAAGAAGTAGAAAGTACAGGTATTTGAGTTCAAACATGTAAGAAGTAGAAAGTACAGGTATTTGTGTTCAACATGTAAGAAGTAGAAAGTACAGGTATTTGAGTTCAACATGTAAGAAGTAGAAAGTACAGGTATTTGTGTTCAACATGTAAGAAGTAGAAAGTACAGGTATTAGAGTTCAACATGTAAGAAGTAGAAAGTACAGGTATTTGGGTTCAACATGTAAGAAGTAGAAAGTAGAGGTATTTGAGTTCAACATGTAAGAAGTAGTACAGGTATTTGAGTTCAACATGTAAGAAGTAGAAAGTACAGGTATTTGAGTTCAACATGTAAGAAGTAGAAAGTACAGGTATTTGTGTTCAACATGTAAGAAGTAGAAAGTACAGGTATTTGTGTTCAGCATGTAAGAAGTAGAAAGTACAGGTATTTGAGTTCAACATGTAAGAAGTAGAAAGTACAGGTATTTGAGTTCAACATGTAAGAAGTAGAAAGTACAGGTATTTGAGTTCAACATGTGAGAAGTAGAAAGTACAGGTATTTGTGTTCAGCATGTAAGAAGTAGAAAGTACAGGTATTTGAGTTCAACATGTAAGAAGTAGAAAGTACAGGTATTTGAGTTCAACATGTAAGAAGTAGAAAGTACAGGTATTTGAGTTCAACATGTGAGAAGTAGAAAGTACAGGTATTTGAGTTCAACATGTAAGAAGTAGAAAGTACAGGTATTTGAGTTCAACATGTGAGAAGTAGAAAGTACAGGTATTTGAGTTCAACATGTAAGAAGTAGAAAGTACAGGTATTTGAGTTCAACATGTAAGAAGCAGAAAGTACAGGTATTTGAGTTCAACATGTAAGAAGTAGAAAGTACAGGTATTTGAGTTCAACATGTAAGAAGTAGAAAGTACAGGTATTTGAGTTCAACATGTGAGAAGTAGAAAGTACAGGTATTTGAGTTCAACATGTAAGAAGCAGAAAGTACAGGTATTTGAGTTCAACATGTGAGAAGTAGAAAGTACAGGTATTTGAGTTCAACATGTAAGAAGTAGAAAGTACAGGTATTTGAGTTCAACATGTGAGAAGTAGAAAGTACAGGTATTTGAGTTCAACATGTAAGAAGTAGAAAGTACAGGTATTTGAGTTCAACATGTGAGAAGTAGAAAGTACAGGTATTTGAGTTCAACATGTAAGAAGTAGAAAGTACAGGTATTTGAGTTCAACATGTAAGAAGCAGAAAGTACAGGTATTTGAGTTCAACATGTGAGAAGTAGAAAGTACAGGTATTTGAGTTCAACATGTAAGAAGTAGAAAGTACAGGTATTTGAGTTCAACATGTAAGAAGTAGAAAGTACAGGTATTTGGGTTCAACATGTAGGAAGTAGAAAGTACAGGTATTTGAGTTCAACATGTAAGAAGTAGAAAGTACAGGTATTTGAGTTCAACATGTAAGAAGTAGAAAGTACAGGTATTTGAGTTCAACATGTAAGAAGTAGAAAGTACAGGTATTTGAGTTCAACATGTAAGAAGTAGAAAGTACAGGTATTTGGGTTCAACATGTAGGAAGTAGAAAGTACAGGTATTTGAGTTCAACATGTAAGAAGTAGAAAGTACAGGTATTTGAGTTCAACATGTAAGAAGTAGAAAGTTCAGGTATTTGAGTTCAACATGTAAGAAGTCAAAGTAAAAAGTCGTCAGAAAAATAAGTAGTGGAGTAGATGCCAGAAAAAAGTACTTAAGTACAGTAACGAAGTGTTTGTACTCCACTACCTCCCACCTCTGCACGGGGACGTTTGGTCAGCGCTGATAAGGGAAAGTGACCCATCATTCAGCTCCTCAATGCGCTCACCGTTAGTTCAGCCGACACTAACTGCCTCATTATTCAAGTCATTAGTGACAGCAAACACAGATCCCTTACAGAGGATGGGGGGGGTAATTAAAGGGGGTCATCGCTGGATGCCAGGCCTCACACAGCTGTGTTCCCCCTCTCATCAGCAGCGTGCCAGCCTCACCAGCCCCTCCGAGGAATACAAAAAACAACAACGATTTGTTGCCAGGCAGCTATCAGCTGGTTCTGGATCAGCTGCTTGTTATTATTACTATCAGCAGCAGCAGTTAATCTCACAAAGAAAAGACGGGAGGCAAACATGCAAAGACGTGCGACCCGGAGTCAAGTGACATTTGCAGAGAGATTGGATTCCTGGAATAAAAGACGATAAAAAGAAAAGCTAAGAGCAGCTCTGGCTCAGGGGATTATTCCTCTCTGAATGCTTTTCACTATAACGGCTGCCAGCGCCATTTACTACTCGTGTGTGTTTACTGCACTTGAAGATGAAAGTGTTGTCCTTCTGTTACCTGGCACACACACAACACGCACACACACAACACACACACAGTGTGTTTTCTTGGCTTGCAGAGGTTCTATTGGTTTTGATTTTAGTGCTTGATTTGCTTTTGCTGCAGGTTGTGAAAATAACATTTACAGACATTTTACAAGTGATTAAAACCAGATTATGTAAAAAAATCAAGCTTTTTCCAGATTTTCCAAACACTTGTGTCTTTGTGACAATACTTTGAGACTTCCTGTCTGTGTGTCAAAGCTCCAAGCCCATTGGTTCCTACTGGAAACATTATAGTTTGAGTCTTTGTAATATGTCCACAAAAGGAGGAAATAGTGCATTTTCAGGGACTATTTTCTGCGGCGGATTCGTTTGCACATTTGGTGCTCTATAGTGAGTAATTGTGGAAACAGGATGGTGTGTGTGTGATTGAGTCAAAATAAACTACAGTGTGTGTTCATGGTGATGAAAGAACATGTCATCTAGTGCAACAGAGGGACTTATTGATGTGTTTTGAATAGTTTTAGGGAAAACAATGGATCTCCATCGCACAAATTAGATCATTAAAACTAAGTGTAACCCTACAGCTGACACAAGACAACAATGTGGTGTCAAATAACAGTAGCTACTACATATATATATATATATATATATATATATGTGCCGTTTGCTCTGATGTTGAAGGGAACTTGGAGATGATAGGGTACAAAAACAATGCACAGATGGTGAGGTGTGTGTGTGTGTGTGTGTGTGTGTGTGTGTGTGTGTGTGTGTGTGTGTGTGTGTGTGTGTGTGTGTGGTCTAATAAGTGCCAAATCCTTGCCCCAGGGCCTCTGAAAACTTAAATCCGGTCGTGGTTCCAGGAGAAGACTTATGACGTTGCAAGTAATTCAGAAAATACTTTAGATTTATTTTATTTTATTTGTAGGTCCCATTATTATTGTTATGCGCCGCTTTCCCCCTTCTACTCCAGTAGGACTCAGAAGTTGCACTTTTCCTTGTGTGATGTTTTGTTTTTCTTGTTTTGTTTCTTTCCGTTAACTGTCAAGTAGAAACTAAGTCTTTTTTTGTACGTTTTTGTGTTTCTCTTATTTTCCTACGATGCTGTTATGATTGGCTGTGAATACGAAAATATGACGGACAGACCATCTATTTCTATTTATTTTGAGAAAGGGGCCGGTCATATCAGATTATATTCTTCTCCCTGCTCCTTTTCGGCTGTGGTGTGTTTATAGAGACATGTTTTGTAAATAATTGTTATACATTAAGTTGTGCATACCAAGAACGGAACACATCAAATGAAAGATTTAGTGCACATGAGGGAGGAAGACTCACCAGAAACACAGCACCTCCAGGAAAGATAGCCCCGTGTCCGACGCCCCCACCAAAACGATCCGGGCGTTAACCGTGACCTTTGGCTCCAAGGTCAACTTCCTGCTGATGAGGCTGAGGGCAAACGGAGCCTGAGAGAAACACAGAAGTTATCATTTTACTGAGTGAGTGAAATTAGGGAATGTGTCACTCTCAAAATGACTGGAAGATTAAATATTCCGTCTCTTAATTATTACCATCACTAAAAGCATTTCCTGATAATGGCTCCAATTTTCCCCACGTTTTAGTATTACAGGATAAAGTAGTAATCATCTTTTTATCCAGGCACTTAATCTGCCGGCTGAAGAGACAGTGCACTCTCAGGCAAACACCTTTAGAGGATTAGTGACGTTTAGGAACGTTTGGGAAAAAAATCTGGGTGAAATTTACCGAATATCAACCACTATTAATGTAGAGGTAATTGGCAACAAAATCAGATTTTCCAAAAGCATTCGGGACATTAGAGATATTCAAACAGGTACGCATTGAAACCGAGATATTTCATATATAAAAGCAAACGGAAAAAGACTTAGCTATCTGTGTTTTATGGTCTTAAACACTACATTGTTGTTATTCTGTAAATACAAGTTGTGAGAGATTGTAAGCGAAGTGCACAGCTCTGCTTCCCATTAGCACTTGATTGATTAATGCATTAAAAGAGACGGTTTCTTTATTTCTTGTGAAAATGAGGAGATGAAAACGCCAGACTCTGATTATTAAAGTGACAATCATTTCTTTGGACTTTTTTCACTGGGATAAAGTGCTCATTTTGGATTATTTCCCCATTTTCTTTGACACATTTTGTTCTTTGTGTCCTTCCCTCCAGCTGTCTAGCCATTTGAGTATTAATCCGATGTTTGCTCTGTATGTCCGTGGAGCTTCAGATGGTAAAGAGAAGGAGACACAGGGATCAAAACGTGCGACCTGACAGTTAAGAAACACTCTCGACAATAATTACAAAAGAGTCCCGCAGGAATTAGCTGAACACTGCGTTCTAATTTCCCGGTTCCTCCTCGCACTGTGAGGCGGCTAATGGCTCCTTCATCATCTGTAATTAGGCAGATTGGCCCCACAATGCACCTTGTTGGATGAAAACAGCATCGAGCGAAACAAGGAGGGGGAAACCCGAGGGTGAAATTAACCTTTGTGTAATATTCAAATAATTTCCATGAGGGCATGTGTGCGCGACATCTGTCACAAACTGAGAGACGAGGTGGGGTTTCATTAGCGGGACAATAAGAAGAGGAAAGGTCTGATAGATGCAAGGGTCTGCAGATATAGGGAAATAATAAGAATCCTACAAATATCTTTAATTGGAGGAAAAGCAGCTAATGTGTTAGTGCCTACATACATCAGTAATAGAGAATTATTACCAACATGTAAGTGTTTATTTTACATTTTTATACGCGAGTTGCTTTCTTTCCCGTTGTTATTAGGTCACAAGTCTCTTACAAAGTTAGTTTGTGGAGATACGTACGTTGGGAAGTTATTCTGATAAGATATCAGGTAGCTCAATTAAAGGTGTGACAGTGGAAATATTTCAACAGATACAAAATGGTGAACTTTGACGCTCACTGAAGCATTTAAGTGAGAAGAGATCGAGTCACAGAGCGTTCGAATTTAGCTTTTTTTAGCTGTTAATAATCAGGAGTTCACTTTAAGATATAGACTATTCTTGCACTATTTTATTTGTATTTAATTGCGCCATTTCATCCGTTTTATTGTGTTGCACTGTTGGAGGAGCCTGTGAACTAAGAATTTCATTGACATTTCTACACTGTAGCTTTGAGCATATGACAATCAAACCTTTGAATTTGAAAAATCCATAGTGAGTCTTCCCTTTTGAAACAGCACCTTCTAGTGGTCACATGATCACCCTGCAGCCCTCCCTCATCCAGAACAACGGGGGTCCAAACTTTTTCTCCGAGGGCTACATAGAGAAAAACATACGAAGGGCTGGACCGCTCACTAGAGGAGAGGTTTATCGCCTCATAAGTTCAATCATAAGTTAGCTAAAATGATGCTTGTGAGTGTTGGCAGCTCATGCCTTAAAACAGAAGCCTCAGAGTGATGATAATAAGGAGGAATATGAAGGGTGTATTTCTAGCTGGTTATGTAAATAAGTGACTTTAATTGCTCTTATTAACATGAATAATCGTGTGTAATATATTTTTACATTTCTATTTAAGAAGTACAATATAAGAAAAGCACAAGTTTCATTTGTGGGTCATATTCCATTATAGTTTTTGAATTTGTCGAGGGCTGATTCAAAATGGTCCGCGGGCTGCATTTGGCCCCCGGGCCGTAGTTTGGACACCCCTGATCTAGAGTCTACACCCCCCCCTGGCAGGATGTTATCCAGCTGCTGCTCAGCCCACCTGCTCCTCTCTGATCTGAAGGGAAGGAGCGTTGATGCCAAGCTCCTCCAGCGGGAAGACGATCTGGCGTCGCGGGCACACAGGAACCGCACAGTCCAGCAGAACATCCAGATGGTGGACGCAGGAATTCTGGGTGCAGAAGAAGAGAGGGCGCAGTGTCAGGAAGTAGTAATGAGCTCAGGTGGAGAGGTCAGATCTGCAGAGGTGGCAAAAGTACACACATCCTTTACTCAAGTAGAAGTACAGATACTCGTGTTTAAAGATACTCTGGTGAAAGTAGAAGTACTGACTAAACTTCTTTACTCAAGTCAAAGTAAAGAGGCTTTGAAATGTACTTCAGTAAAAAGTACCCATAACTAGCAGCTGTTTTAAAGAGTACCTGACCTCCCTTTATATTAATAGAACATTAAAGATCTTCTATTTCAAATTGTAATAATATCATAATGTGTGTGTTTGTGTCTGAGACGCAGATTAAAACTAAAGTAACAAGCCTGTTTGGAAAATGTGAGAAGTAGAAAGTACAGGTATTTGAGTTCAACATGTGAGAAGTAGAAAGTACAGGTATTTGAGTTCAACATGTAAGAAGTAGAAAGTACAGGTATTTGAGTTCAACATGTGAGAAGTAGAAAGTACAGGTATTTGAGTTCAACATGTGAGAAGTAGAAAGTACAGGTTATTTGAGTTCAACATGTAAGAAGTAGAAAGTACAGGATTTGAGTTCAAACATGTAAGAAGTAGAAAGTACAGGTATTTGGGTTCAACATGTAAGAAGTAGAAAGTACAGGTATTGGGTTCAACATGTAAGAAGTAGAAAGTACAGGTATTTGGGTTCAACATGTAAGAAAGTAGAAAGTACAGGGTATTTGGGTTTCAACATGTAAGAAGTAGAAAGTACAGGTATTTGGGTTCAACATGTAAGAAGTAGAACAAGTACAGGTAATTTGAGGTTCAAACATGTGAGAAGTAGAAAGTTACAGGTATTTGAGTTCAACAGTAAGAAGTAGAAAGTACAGGTATTTAGTTCAACATGTAAGAAGTAGAAAGTACAGGTATTTGGTTCAACATGTAAGAAGTAGAAAGTACAGGTATTTGGGTTCAACATGTAAGAAGTAGAAAGTACAGGTATTTGTGTTCAACATGTAAGAAGTAGAAAGTACAGGTATTTGAGTTCAACATGTAAGAAGTAGAAAGTACAGGTATTTGGGTTCAACATGTAAGAAGTAGAAAAGTACAGGTATTTGGTTCAACATGTAAGAAGTAGAAAGTACAGGTATTTGAGTTCAACCATGTAAGAAGTAGAAAGTACAGGTATTTGGGTTCAACATGTGAGAAGTAGAAAGTACAGGTATTTGTGTTCAACATGTAGAAGTAGAAAGTACAGGTATTTGAGTTCAACAGTAAGAAGTAGAAAGAGTACAGGTATTTGAGTTCAACATGTAAGAAGTAGAAAGTACAGGTATTTGTGTTCAACAGGTAAGAAGTAGAAAGTACAGGTTTTGAGTTTCAACATGTAAGAAGTAGAAAGACAGGTATTTAGTTTCAACATGTAGAAGTAGAAGTACAGGTATTTGTGTTCAACATGTAAGGAAGTAGAAGTACAGGTATTGTGTTCAACATGTAACAATGTAAGAAGTAGAAAGTACAGGTATTTTAGTTCAACTGTAAGAAGTAGAAAGTACAGGTATTTGTGTTCAACATGTAAGAGTAGAAAGTACAGGTATTTGTGTTCAACCTGGTAAGAGTAGAAAGTACAGGTAGTTGAGGTCAACATGTGAGAAGTAGAAAGTACAGGTATTTGTGTTCAACATGTAAGAAGTAGAAAGTACAGGTATTTGAGTTCAACATGTAAGAAGTAGAAAGTACAGGTATTTGAGTTCAACATGTGAGAAGTAGAAAGTACAGGTATTTGATGTCAACATGTGAAGAAGTAGAAAGTACAGGTATTTGAGTTCCACATGTAAGAAGTAGAAAGTACAGGTATTTGAGTTCAACATGTAAGAAGTAGAAAGTACAGGTATTTGAGTTCAACATGTGAGAAGTAGAAAGTACAGGTATTTGTGTTCAACATGTAAGAAGTAGAAAGTACAGGTATTTGAGTTCAACATGTAAAAAAGTAGAAGTACAGGTATTTGAGTCAACATGTGAGAAGTAGAAAGTACAGGTATTTGAGTTCAACATGTGAGAAAGTAGAAAGTACAGGTATTTGAGTTCAACATGTAAGAAGTAGAAAGTACAGGTATTTGAGTTCAACATGTAAGAAGTAGAAAGTACAGGTATTTGAGTTCAACATGTAAGAAGTAGAAAGTACAGGTATTGAGTTCAACATGTAAGAAGTCAAAGTAAAAAGTCGTCAGAAAAATAAGTAGTGGAGTAAAGTACGGATACCAGAAACAGGTACTTAAGTACAGTAACGAAGTATTTGTACTCCACTACTTCCCACCTCTGCAGATCAGAAAACATCAGCCTGCACACAGATTATTCTCTGCTTATCTTCTGACATTATTCTATTTGCAAATCATCATCATCGTGTCCCAGTGTGCTGCCTGTTTGTTGAGGGTAATTAGCAGAGGAAGTGGAGGCCTCTACATGTGGAGGAAATGTCTTATTATGGGATGGAGAGGTGGAGCACCTGCTGCCCCGACCCCAGGGGCCGCAGCCTGCTGGGGGCTAAACTCTGCAAGAAATGGCCTGCTAAAACTCTTTCCGATCAGAGTAAACAGTAGGGGTGGGAATCACCAGGCTCCCCACGATACGATACTATTGCAATACTTAAGCCACGATACGATACTATTGCAATACTTAAGCCACGATACGATACTATTGCAATACTTAAGCCACGATACGATACTATTGCAATACTTAAGCCACGATAAGATACTATTGCAATACTTAAGCCACGATAAGATACTATTGCATACTTAAAGCCACGATAAGATACTATTGCAATACTTAAGCCACGATACGATACTATTGCAATACTTAAGCCACGATACGATACTATTGCAATACTTAAGCCACGATAAGATACTATTGCAATACTTAAGCCACGATACGATACTATTGCAATACTTAAGCCACGATACGATACTATTGCAATACTTAAGCCACGATACGATACTATTGCAATACTTAAGCCACGATACGATACTATTGCAATACTTAAGCCACGATAAGATACTATTGCAATACTTAAGCCACGATACGATACTATTGCGATACTTAAGCCACGATACGATACTATTGCGATACTAAGCCACGATACGATACTATTGCAATACTAAGCCACGATACGATACTATTGCAATACTTAAGCCACGATAAGATACTATTGCAATACTTAAGCCACGATACGATACTATTGCGATACTTAAGCCACGATACGATACTATTGCGATACTTAAGCCACGATACGATACTATTGCAATACTTAAGCCACGATAAGATACTATTGCAATACTTAAGCCACGATACGATACTATTGCAATACTTAAGCCACGATACGATACTATTGCGATACTTAAGCCACGATACGATACTATTGCGATACTTAAGCCACGATACGATACTATTGCAATACTTAAGCCACGATAAGATACTATTGCAATACTTAAGCCACACTACAATACTATTGCGATACTTAAGCCACGATACGATACTATTGCAATACTTAAGCCACGATACGATACTATTGCGATACTTAAGCCACGATAAGATACTATTGCAATACTTAAGCCACGATACGATACTATTGCAATACTTAAGCCACGATACGATACTATTGCGATACTTAAGCCACGATACGATACTATTGCGATACTTAAGCCACGATACGATACTATTGCAATACTTAAGCCACACTACAATACTATTGCGATACTTAAGCCACGATACTATTGCGATACTTAAGTCGCGATACAATACTATTGCGATACTTAAGCCACGATACGATACTATTGCAATACTTAAGCCACACTACAATACTATTGCGATACTTAAGCCACAATACTATTGCAATACTTAAGTCACAATACTATTGCTATACTTACGCCACGATAGTATAGTATCACGATACTTAAGCCACAATACGATATTATTGCGATTCTACGATATGCTAAGTATTGCGAAACGATATACTGCGATATATTGCGCATATATATTGATTTTGATTATTTTACCTGGATAGGTCTCATTGAGAGATATTTGGTTAAAAAGAACTCAATGGTGCTCTAGGAGGAGATTCAGGGGATAAGGTGGGGGGGGGGGGGGGGGTGGGGGGGGGGGTTACCTTGGTTGCTGATTGGCTAATGGTTACACAAGACAACACATCGTTATGACATCATAAAGTGGCCAAAATCTGATCAGCTCATTTTCAGACAGGTTTTTATAGAAATGGATCAAAAAGAGAGAATCTTTGTTCCTGAAACGTTCAGAGTCTCTTTCCACAGGGCCCCTCGGTGTAAAGAGAGACATGTTGATGTAGAAGAGACGTGAACTGGGAATTGAGCCGCCACAGACATTTCTTGCAGTGTGTGAGCTGAGGGTCATTACACTAATGAATGTGTTTCTGAGCAGACATGCAGAGGCTGGAAAGGCCCCAGAGTTGAGGGGCCAGTGAGGGCCTGAGGGTCCCTGTGCACCCACCTGGGGCTGATGTGAGGGGGGTAGAGTCTGTGGAAGAGGCAGGACTTGTGCCCCAGCCGGAGGGACTCTTTGAACAAGTGTCTGCAGCAGCGCTGGAAGGAGGGCGCCAGGACGAAGTGCAGGATGTGAGCGTGCTCCTCCAGCCGGTGGTGGCTGAAGTAGATGAAGCTCTCCATGTTGTAGCGCGCACACAAGTACTGGAGGTCCTGACAGAGAGAGCGGAGGAGATAAGTCACTTTTCTGTGGGTAAGAATCCATGAGGGACACATAATTATAAGTTGTAATTGTTTTGTTTACATTCAGATAATAAGGAACAACATCTGCTGGTGACTGAAGCATAAAAGGAAATATTCCTCTACATTTTGCAGTGAAAATAAGAACTGTTTTTACCTTTATTTCATTTCTTATATACATGAACCTACACTTTTCTGTTGATAAACATGCAGGACTACAAATTATAAATGGTTTTTTTTCATTCAGATAATAAGGAACTACATCTGCTGGTGACTGTAGCATAAAAGGAAACATGTCTCTACATTTTGCAATATAATAATAATAACAACCACACCCTAAATTAATTGATATTACTCTTGATTTTATCTATTATATACAAAATATAACTTTCCAGTCCGTTTTTTGTGTTGATAAACTCCATACAGGACAGATGATTTTATATATTTCAAATGTTGCACTATAGTACAGTACTTTAGTTTTTTTTGCATTAAACAAATAACAAAAGCTACAATAGTTAGCTTTTTACATAAAGTGGTGTTAATATGTGGAGATTATCCTGCTTGATGCTGCCTTCAGGGTCCAACACAGAAATACGTCACTATATAGATCCAGTTTGATCAGAGTGCAGGGAGTAAACTGCCTCCACCTGCTCGTCTCTGATGATCAGGATCCCGACCACCTCGCTCTGCACCGTGGACACGAAGGCCTGCAGCGGCACGCCATCCTGAGAGGGAACAGAAACACAATATATGTAAATATAGACCAGCTTGTGTGTGTGTGTGTGTGTGTGTGTGTATGTGTGTGTATGTGTATATATATATGTGTGTGTGTGTGTGTGTGTGTGTGTGTGTGTGTGTGTGTGTGTGTGTGTGTATGTGTGTGTGGTGTGTGTGTGTGTGTGTGTGGGCACCTTCTTGTGTCAGCCCGGTGCCATGAATACACATGAAGTGTCAGCAGAAGTAATTATCAGTTTTGGAGCGCCTCGCTGACAGCTGGGGTGTCAGTCAGAGAGGAGAAGCCGCTCAACTGAATTCTCACCAATCTGCTGCCTGGCATCTCTTCTCCATCCTGAGACAATCACCAGCAGCTCCATATCACCCCACCGGCCAAAACAATCATCAGGTCATTCTAATTCAGTTAAAGGGGAGCCAGTTCCAACCCTGATATGTTCGGTCTGGTTATTCTTTATCATTTCCAAACACTGACCATATTGCAGGCCAGTTGGTTTAATACTGAATACATTTGAGCAGGTTTTCTCTCATTGTGCTGTTAAGTTAAATGTTTGTTTTTCATGTATGTTGATGGTACACATGGAGCTGCTGTCATGCAAGTAACATTTCAGACTTGACCATTAAAGTATTATCATACTGTATCGTATTTAGCAGTAGTGGCTTAGCATGAGCATTGTTTATTATATCTACAATCTTAAATATGGTTTTACATAAAACATATATTTGGAATTTACACTTAAAAGCAATGTTAGACTTACTGTAGCACGTTCCCAACATATAGTTAAGACAAACTATTAAGACTGAAACATCTGAGAACAATGACAACATAGAAGTTCAAAATGATTCCAAATCCATGTTTTGTCTTTTCACTTTTTGTGGTTTTAGTGGGTTTTAGGGGCAAACAAGTTAAATCAATTACAAATAACATGCATAGATATATTAATATAGAATACAGGAGCAACACAATCTATTTGTTTAGTTCTATGGGCAATTAAGTTGTTTAAGGAAAGACATTGTGTGAATTTTCAGTGATGTACTTTTACTATGTGGGACATAATAATATGTGAGAAATTGTCGTTTACTTGGACCTTGATGTGAAGTTAGGGTTTGTGATAAGCTTTGAGTATTGCAATTTAACATGTGTACAAAAGTAGCTTAATGGAACTGATGAGGGCTATGTGAATACATGTAAGCGATGAGATGCAAGTAGCTCTTGGACACTTTCATTTTTTCAAAGCAGCTCTCAGATGAAGAAAGGTTGAGACCCCGGCTTTAAACAGAGTAGCAGAGGGTAGTGTCTGCAGGGCTCCGTTTGAACTGCAAAAGGCCACATTTGGGCTGCTGTGTTTCGTAATTCAAACTGAAACTGCACCAATTTTGCACCAAAAAAAAGACACCTTACAGAGCATAATTAAACACAAGCAACAAAGAAGATCAAACAGTAATTCAAGACTTGAAAAAACAGACTTAAAAACAACTATCAGTTTAGAAGAATTAAGATATAGAATACACCAGTTTAAAAAGGTGGGTTTTCAGGCAGGATTTGAAGGTTGAGTGTGAGTCCATATTGTGGATGTCTTGTGGGAGAGAGACGGGGGGGCAGAGTGGCTGAAGGCTCTTGACCCCATGGGGCAGAGTGGCTGAAGGCTCTTGACCCCATGGGGCAGAGTGGCTGAAGGCTCTTGACCCCATGGGGCAGAGTGGCTGAAGGCTCTTGACCCCATGGGGCAGAGTGGCTGAAGGCTCTTGACCCCATGGGGCAGAGTGGCTGGAGGCTCTTGACCCCCATGGGGCAGAGTGGCTGAAGGCTCTTGACCCCATGGGGCAGAGTGGCAGAAGGCTCTTGACCCCATGGGCAGAGTGGCTGGAGGCTCTTGACCCCATGGGGCAGAGTGGCTGAAGGCTCTTGACCCAAGGTGGTCAGGCGGGCAGAAGGCTCTTGACCCCAAGGTGGTCAGGCGGGCAGAAGGCTCTTGACCCCATGGTGGTCAGGCGGGCAGAAGGCTCTTGACCCCTTGGTGGTCAAGCGGGCAGAAGGCTCTTGACCCCATGGTGGTCAGGCGGGCAGAAGGCTCTTGACCCCATGGTGGTCAGGCGGGCAGAAGGCTATTGACCCCATGGTGGTCAGGCGGGCAGAAGGCTCTTGACCCCATGGTGGTCAGGCGGGCAGAAGGCTCTTGACCCCATGGTGGTCAGGCGGGCAGAAGGCTCTTGACCCCATGGTGGTCAGGCGGGCAGAAGGCTCTTGACCCCAAGGTGGTCAGGCGGGCAGAAGGCTCTTGACCCCATGGTGGTCAGGCGGGCAGAAGGCTCTTGACCCCATGGTGGTCAGGCGGGCAGAAGGCTCTTGACCCCATGGTGGTCAGGCGGGCAGAAGGTACAGTGAAGGAGTTCAGAGAGATATGGAGGTGCAGGATGTGAAGGGCCTTGAAGGTGAGGAGCAACATGTTAAAGTCGATGCGGTATTTAACGGGGAGATGTATATATATATATATGAGGAGGGAAAGTAGTAAAAACAGAGAGAATGTGACTTAAAGCTTGATATAAGACGATGTATCAGCATCAAAGGTAACCCAGCTGTGTTTCTGTCAGCTTGTTGACTAACTTTGTCTCTGCGGGTCTCGTAGAAACGGTCCAGGTCCTCAAGAAGAGACTCTCTGAGACTCAGAGTCTTCACCAGCTCAGAGACAGCAGGACGGTCTGCAGCTACAGCCGCCCTCACCTCCACACTCCTACAGGACAACAACATCAACAACACCATCAACAACACCATCAACACACACTGAGGACACAGTTAGAGCTTCTCACAGCACGGTTACAGAGTCTCTTTTGCAAAAACGTAATCATTTGTTTCTGATTTAAAGGTCCTCTATGACACTGTTTCTCATCAATATATCACAGGTCTCAGATATATCCAGAGCCGGTCTCTGATTGGCTGAAACCCCAAACAGATCATTGCAGCATTACCCATAATCCCCTCTGTTTCAGCCCTGTTTCCAAAGTGCTGATTCTCTGTCTGTTACTTTAGATGAAAATAAGGAGCCCCTCCCCACGCCCCTCTGAGAGACATTTGGTTACAAAGAACTCAATGGTGCTCTAGGAGGAGATTCAGGGGATAAGGGGGGGGGGGGGTTACCTTGGTTGCTGATTGGCTAATGGTTGATGACATCATAAAGTGCCAAAATCTGATCAGCTCATTTTCAGACAGGTTTTTATAGAAATGGATCAAAAAGAGAGAGACTCTTTGTTCCTGAAACTTTCAGAGTCTCTTTCCACAGAGGGGACACATGTTGATGTAGAAGAGACATGAAGAAGAGGGGACACATGTTGATGAAGAAGAGGGGACACATGTTGATGAAGAAGAGACATGAAGAAGAGGGGACACATGTTGATGTAGAAGAGACATGAAGAAGAGGGGACACATGTTGATGTAGAAGAGACATGAAGAAGAGGGGACACATGTTGATGTAGAAGAGACATGGAGAAGAGGGGACACATGTTGATGTAGAAGAGACATGGAGAAGAGGGGACACATGTTGATGTAGAGAGACATGAAGAAGAGGGGACACATGTTGATGTAGAAGAGACATGGAGAAGAGGGGACACATGTTGATGTAGAAGAGACATGAAGAAGAGGGGACACATGTTGATGTAGAAGAGACATGGAGAAGAAGGGGACACATGTTGATGTAGAAGAGACATGGAGAAGAGGGGACACATGTTGATGTAGAAGAGACATGAAGAAGAAGGGGACACATGTTGATGTAGAAGAGACATGAAGAAGAGGGGACACATGTTGATGTAGAAGAGACATGAAGAAGAGGGGACACATGTTGATGTAGAAGAGACATGAAGAAGAGAGGGACACGTGTGGATGTAGAAGAGACATGAAGAAGAGAGGACACATGTTGATGTAGAAAGACATAAGAAGAGAGGACACTGTTGATGTAGAAGAGACTTGAAGAAGAGGGGACACATGTTGATGTAGAAGAGACTTGAAGAAGAGAGGACACATGTTGATGTAGAAGAGACATGGAGAAGAGGGGACACATGTTGATGTAGAAGAGACATGAAGAAGAGAGGACACATGTTGATGTAGAAGAGACATGAAGAAGAGGGGACACATGTTGATGTAGAAGAGACATGAAGAAGAGGGGACACATGTTGATGTAGAAGAGACATGGAGAAGAGGGGACACATGTTGATGTAGAAGAGACATGGAGAAGAGGGGACACATGGTGATGTAGAAGAGACATGGAGAAGAGGGGACACATGTTGATGTAGGAGAGACATGGAGAAGAGGGGAGAGGGTTTGTACGTGTAAACCAAGATATAAGAAGACGATATACTGTAATATTATGCAATTGTCGACATATGAATTATATTAGTGACAGTATTTGTCGTCCATATTGTATTAGTGAGTGTTATTTTGACACCTAATGAGACGGTTTCATGTTCGGTTTCAAGTGTTTTATATCTCAATGTTTGTGTGTGATGACCCACCTGAGTCCGGAGCGTTGGAAGACGTAGATTTCTCGGGGAGGCGAGGCGTTGGTGGAGCGGGGGGGCAGCCGGATGAAGCTCTGCAGCAGCAGGAACTCAGGGGAGAGAGTCGGGACGGTGATGATGCAGAGGTCCACGTCCTGAGAGACACATATATATTTATACTTCGCTGAGCAGAGATGGAAATACATCATGAAAAATATCATGTTTTAAAGAATTCTCTCTTTATAACCTTCCTTAACTTAACTTAACGGCTTTAACATTTTCATCAGTGTGATAACAATTATAAATATTGTAGAATAATATGCACATTTCTACTTTAACTTCTTACGTTTATACACATTGTGGTATTATTTTTAATGATATATTTTCTTTGACTTCTTATGTTAATATACATTTTTATTGAATTTCTATTGTATCTTTTTAATTGCACACTTATTCTATCTGCTTCTGATTATATAACTATTTTAATTATTTATTTTATTTTATTTATACTTAATTTTATTGTATTTAAAATAGAGAACCAAATCTATATTCTGATTCTAAAAAACGTTTAAAACCCTGAACCTGGCCCTCTCCATATGACCATAACAGGGACACACGTGCATGTATTTAAACTCTAGCACATACTGAGATCTTACTTCATAATATGAACACTTTTCTTTTTCTTCAATGAAGCTGCTACTTATTCTTTTTACCTTGGAAGCAATTGTTTATTTTATTACCATGAGTTTGCCTCTTTATTTAATACGTTACTCTGTGTAGGACAAGCGAAGGGTTTCTGCTTCTGATACTTACGGGGAAAACTGTGAATATATAAGGAATGAAGTCCACTGATCTGGAAGAGAACGAGAAAGGGGAAGTCAGGTGTAAATATAATAATATAGTGCTCAAAGACACTTTTCAGCGTGGTGCCGATGATGCGGACATCTTAGTACACGGGAAGAACACTGAAATGATCTCATCCTGTCTCTCTAATGCTTTGGACAAGGTTCAACACTGGCTGAACAACATGTGCTTACAGTTCAACGTAAAAAACAGTATGCATGATGTTCAGTAAACGACCAGTCAAAATCGAAGGATCCAACGTGTTTTTAAACGGAGCAGAAATAGAACTAGTACCCCACTTCAAGTATCTTGATATCTATATATATTTTAACATTATTCAGACTCAGCTCGCTGAGCTTAAGCTTCTTTTAAATGTTGATCAAACCAAGGTAATGCTATTTTCTAAAGCTAAAGAGACACCAGACACTGCTTTGGATATTGTTACTATGCAAGGACAAGTACTCAAAGTGGTTACCTGTTATAAATACCTAGGTATCTGGCTTGATGATTGTCTCACTTTTAAACTTCATGTCAATAACCTGCTTAAAAAGCTGAGGGTTAGGCTAGGTTTCTTCTACAGGAACAAGTCCTGTTTCTCGCTTGAGGCCAGGAAAAGGCTCTGTGACCTTTTTACCTGTGCTGGACTATGGTGATCTGGTCTATATGAATGCACCTGCCCATTGCCTGGAAAAGTTAGATGCCGCCTATCACAGCGCACTGAGATTTGTCACTAATTGTAAAGCACTTACTCATCACTGTACCCTGTATGCCAAGGCAGGTCTGCCTTCACTAACTGTACAGAGGCTCAGTCATTGGTACACGTTTATTTTAGGGCTGTCAAACGATTAAAAATTAATTAATCAGATTAATCACCATTCGAACTATGTCCAAAATATGCCATTTATTTATGTATATTGTTGTGGGAATGGAAAGATAAATGAAAGAAGGCGGATATATCCATTTAACATACAGTATCTATGTTTATTATAACATTTTTCTGCGTGTCAAAATGAAAGACAGCCCACACACCTATCAATCATCAAACCGTGGGGTCTTAATTCATTACGTGTTGATTTCTATCAACGGGGGAGTACTTCAGGAAAGTCGACAGAGGGGGGGCGGCTAGTGGAGTACTTCGTGACCACAGAGTGTGAACGTTGTGATCAGCTGTTTTAGCGCAGTTCTCCAGTGAAGGGGGGGAGTCTCCCTCCGCCGCCGGTTGGCGTAGTTTTGGCACAGTTCCGTTGTACAGACCGACGTTAACAGCAGCCCTGTCTGTGCACACGGAGACCGACTCTGTCGTCCGGTGATCTAACCGCCTTCTGGAAAAGCTTCACAAGTACGTCGGTACGCAAATGTGCTTTGTGACACAAGTGATGGTACGCATTTCAGAGAGATTACGCACATAACCTGCGTACCAGTTATGTGTTACCTGTACTACAGCAAAAGTATTCTCCGTCGGGACTTCCTGCAACAACACCACGCCGTTATCAAAGATGTTCTATTGAGAAGACGATCACTACGTGACAAAAGTTTTCAAAACCGTGGCTACTGAAATCAATCTTACTAACTGCTGTCTGTGCAATTTACTCCGCGCGAGTTGGCAGACTTTATTTTGCTTCCTTTAACATCATTGTTCATGGTGGGGCTAAGCCATTTCTGGTGTAGCCTACCCCAGCCATACCCTGGCGCTGCCACTGGTGGCACGTATGGGGCGGGCCATTCTGCACATGCGTTAAATGCGTTAAATATTTTAACGCAATTAATTCAAAAAATTAATTACCGCCGTTAACGCGATAATTTTGACAGCACTATTTTATTTATAAAGCTTTGTTGGGTAAACTCCCGTATTACATCTGCTCTCTGATAACACAGAGAGTTGAAAGCAGCTATTGTCTGAGATCGCATGATGTAGTATTGTTACATGTGCCAAGAGCAAGGACTGTCTTAAGTAAGACAGCTTTTATGTGCGCAGCTCCACTTGCTTGGAACAATCTTCAGCAAGAATTGAAACTGAGCAATCTCATTCCTCTGCATGTTTTTAAAGCTAGGCTAAATGAAATGCTCGTTGATACTATGGCCACTTGTAAATGTCTATAACTATGTAAATGTATCCTGTAAATATAATGTATGATGTCCTTTATTGTTTTATGTTTCATGTGGAACCTATATGCTGCAGGTCTCCCTTGAAAAATAGATCTATGATCTCAATGGGACCAATCTGGTTAAATAAAGGTTTGAAATGAAATGAAAATCTTGGAGTCATAATGGACTTGAACTTGACTTTTAAGAAACATATCAAGAAAGTATCCAACACCATTAAATTCAACTTGCAACATTTTAAACAAATGAGACCTTTCTTAACTGTCAATGCTGCAAAGTCACACCTCCACTGTGATTCTATCCCACATTGAATACTGTTTGACAAACTGGTCGTTTGCTTGAGCCACAAACCTGAAACCCATAGAGCAGCTGTTCAAGAGAGCTGTCCAGGTGTTGGACAGAAAGCCACACTCATACCAGCACTGCACCATCCTGGAGAAACACCATTTATTGAGTTTTGACCATTTTAAGTCTTTGATCTTTTATAAATGTTTACATGGACGCTGCCCTCCCTCCCTTAGGGGAATTTTTAAGTATTCAGAAAAAGTCATAATTTTGTGAAAAGTCATAATTTTGAGATTTTGAGAAAAAGTCAGAATTTTGAGAAAAAGTCAGAATTTTGAGAAAAAGTCAGAATGTTGAGAAAAATTTCAATTTTGAGAAAAGTCAGTATTTTGAGGAAAAAAAAACATACTTTTTAGATTTTTAGAAAAAGTCATAATTTTGAGAAAAAGTCATAATTTTGATATATAAGCTATTCTGTATGTGATGACTACTTCCATTCTTGAGAGGCTAATAAATACATGGATCCTGATATTGAACCTCAAGCCAGTGATATGTTTCTAACAAAATATGAACACAGTATTGTTCAGTGTGTTGAAGGTGGGGGGGGGGGGGGGGGGGGGGGGGTCAGTGCAGTCTCTGATGTGCCAATACATGCCAAGTTTCACAATAAAAGCCCGGCTGGTGATGGCCGACAGATCTGCCCGCTGCTTCCAGCTCAACTTCTCTCTTCCCGCTCCGTCACGCTGTCAGAGTCAGCGGCGCTCTCATTAATAACGCGCTCACTGTCGGCAGGAAGCCTCGTCTCCTCACTGAGGAACAGCTGGGAGGCGAGGCAGCCAGAAAACACTCACTGTCTGTCTAACTCTGAACATGACTGATGCAACTCTGAGCCGCTGCCATCAGTGGAAACATGGAGGAAAGTGGGGAAATACGCACGTTTAAATTATGGAATTACTTCAAAACGAGTCGTGCATTTGATGGGAATTATAGCAACGTCATTCTGTAAGAGTATCTAATAGAATTAACGTTGCATGTTCAGTTCCATGTAACTTTCCCTCCCCCTCGTTCACTTTAATGTGTTGGAAAGTAATAGGTACATTTACTAAAGCACATTTTTGAGGTACTTGTATACCTTACGGGGATTTCCATTTCATGCTACTATATACTTCACTACAATTTGGAAGCAAATATTGCACTTTTTACTCCACTACAATTATTTGCAGGTTCGTATTAATAATAAAACATATAACTCAACTAAATGACTATAATGTTCTACTTTGGATTAACCCTCCTGTTGTCTCGAGGTCCACTTTGACGCATCTCTTAATGTTTTGATGTTGGAAAAAGTGGTTGAATTGGAAAGTTTAATTAAAAAAGTTACATTTGATTCGTTTTGATTTAAGGGGACATATACTGATATACACCTGAACATCAGCAGGAGAGGACTCTTTAAAGTAGAGACACTACATACTGATATACACCTGAACATCAGCAGGAGAGGACTCTTTAAAGTAGAGACACTACATACTGATATACACCTGAACATCAGCAGGAGAGGACTCTTTAAAGTAGAGACACTACATACTGATATACACCTGAACATCAGCAGGAGAGGACTCTTTAAAGTAGAGACACTACATACTGATATACACCTGAACATCAGCAGGAGAGGACTCTTTAAAGTAGAGACACTACATACTGATATACACCTGAACATCAGCAGGAGAGGACTCTTTAAAGTAGAGATACTACATACTGATATACACCTGAACATCAGCAGGAGAGGACTCTTTAAAGTAGAGACACTACATACTGATATACACCTGAACATCAGCAGGAGAGGACTCTTTAAAGTAGAGACACTACATACTGATATACACCTGAACATCAGCAGGAGAGGACTCTTTAAAGTAGAGACACTACATACTGATATACACCTGAACATCAGCAGGAGAGGACTCTTTAAAGTAGAGACACTACATACTGATATACACCTGAACATCAGCAGGAGAGGACTCTTTAAAGTAGAGACACTACATACTGATATACACCTGAACATCAGCAGGAGAGGACTCTTTAAAGTAGAGACACTACATACTGATATACACCTGAACATCAGCAGGAGAGAACTCTTTAAAGTAGAGAACACTACATACTGATATACACCTGAACATCAGCAGGAGAGGACTCTTTAAAGTAGAGACACTACATACTGATATACACCTGAACATCAGCAGGAGAGGACTCTTTAAAGTAGAGACACTACATACTGATATACACCTGAACATCAGCAGGAGAGGGACTCTTTAAAGTAGAGACACTACATACTGATATACACCTGAACATCAGCAGGAGAGGACTCTTTAAAGTAGAGACACTACATACTGATATACACCTGAACATCAGCAGGAGAGGACTCTTTAAAGTAGAGACACTACATACTGATATACACCTGAACATCAGCAGGAGAGGACTCTTTAAAGTAGAGACACTACATACTGATATACACCTGAACATCAGCAGGAGAGGACTCTTTAAAGTAGAGATACTACATACTGATATACACCTGAACATCAGCAGGAGAGGACTCTTTAAAGTAGAGATACTACATACTGATATACACCTGAACATCAGCAGGAGAGGACTCTTTAAAGTAGAGACACTACATACTGATATACACCTGAACATCAGCAGGAGAGGACTCTTTAAAGTAGAGACACTACATACTGATATACACCTGAACATCAGCAGGAGAGGACTCTTTAAAGTAGAGATACTACATACTGATATACACCTGAACATGAGCAGGAGAGGACTCTTTAAAAGTAGAGACACTACATACTGATATACACCTGAACATCAGCAGGAGAGGACTCTTTAAAGTAGAGACACTACATACTGATATACACCTGAACATCAGCAGGAGAGGACTCTTTAAAGTAGAGACACTACATACTGATATACACCTGAACATCAGCAGGAGAGGACTCTTTAAAGTAGAGACACCACATACTGATATACACCTGAACATCAGCAGGAGAGGACTCTTTAAAGTAGAGACACTACATACTGATATACACCTGAACATCAGCAGGAGAGGACTCTTTAAAGTAGAGACACTACATACTGATATACACCTGAACATCAGCAGGAGAGGACTCTTTAAAGTAGAGACACTACATACTGATATACACCTGAACATCAGCAGGAGAGGACTCTTTAAAGTAGAGACACTACATACTAATATACACCTGAACATCAGCAGGAGAGGACTCTTTAAAGTAGAGACTCTACATACTGATATACACCTGAACATCAGCAGGAGAGGACTCTTTAAAGTAGAGACACTAGATACTGATATACACCTGAACATCAGCAGGAGAGGACTCTTTAAAGTAGAGACACTACATGCTGATATACACCTGAACATCAGCAGGAGAGGACTCTTTAAAGTAGAGACACTACATACTGATATACACCTGAACATCAGCAGGAGAGGACTCTTTAA